TTTTCCCACAGGACTTACTTTTCTCCTCTACCATCTGACCTTCAGTCGAGAATACAAGAACACGTTCCCTATATTACAATATCATACTCATTGGTAGAGTTAATACTATAGAAATGATCATCTTACCCAAATTATCATGTCTATTCGAAAATTTCCCAGTGTTTATCCCTAAATAATGTTTTTAAAAACTATACTCACATATCTTGCGTTTTCTACGGGATAATAAAAGCCATAGAATTGCTAGAAAACATCTTTGCAAGTTTTAAAAGGAGGGAGGGCTGCTGCTGTCAAACTATTTATTTTATTACTGGGCTTTGCATTTAAAATCCATGACATACTGGCTACCTGACATTGGTAAACCCCCTACATGGGTGCAATTGGAGCAAGAAGCATGACAACCCTACTGTAAAGGAGCTACGTATATTATCTCCCTTGCCCACTCATAAAACTGTATACAATTGCAATGTGGTGATACATAGTACCATTCACAGTTTTAAGCAGATCAAATCACATTTTAACTTGAAGTCTTTATCCTTAGGCATGGCCATTGCAGACAACCCATCTTTCAAAGCATCTAATTATGTGAACTCATCTTTTATTAAACCTAAATGGGAAGAGGAATTCGGTATTACAATCACTGATTTTAATTAGGAAGAAAGCCTCAAGAATGTCTATACATGCTCTTACAACGCAAGACACCGTTCAATTCAAAATTCTACGTTTCATGCTGTGATGCATGAAACGTAGAATTGTTTGTACTTTTCTAGAGGAACTGTCTGTCTGGTTACATAGAAACTTTTCTAGAGAGTGGTTACACAGAAGCTAATCTGAGATCTCTCCTGTTTGTGGGAAATGGTCCCTAGCTGAACATACCTTAAGCCACAGCTTTGTTTCCAGTTATAAAGCTCAAAAATGCTGATGATGTTGTGGTTTTGAGCGGTGATAAATGTTTTTTTATATTCTATAGTGCAAAGAAACTTCATTTTACTCACTGGGTAAAAGAGATGCTCCTCCTTTAAAGCTCTGGCTCAATGACCTTGCAACTACATTATATTTGGAAAGTATACGGTATACTTTTTCTGACAAACATTCCTCCTTCAGTAAAATATGGCACCTCTGGTTCAATATTTGTAGTCATAAATAATGGCCAGGGATCTTGGCTCCTCATTGCTGTTAATTTTGGGGGTGGGGAGGTATTACATTTTCCTTTGTTGTGTGTTATGTTATGCCTTGTTAGCAATGTATACGATAAGCAATAATCTGATATTGTATATTTCATTGTGTGGATTGCTCAATGAATAAATTCTGACAAAACACAGGATCTCTCTGCTCTCTCTGGGTCACCTGACGCATTTACATCTGTCACAACATTGGAGGGTGTTGATATCAGCTGTCAAACCTTTAACCCTAATGGAGCTTTTTTCAAAGCGACAATCTTAATAGATCAATAAAGCCCTCTGGCATCAGATTACAAAGACGTTCAATGACCACATGTGAAGGAGAATGCAACAACACAAACCAGGAAGAACAGGTAAGACAGCTAAAAAATGCACTTGAGATAGATCCAGGTTTTCTTTCTTTACATATTTTACCAAAAATAATATGAATTTAGTCCCAGTAAGTCAGTATGTTATAAAATAATTTCTCACTGTAGCTACAACTCCACGTCTTTAAGGGTATTTCTCTACCACCTCAAACCCAGTCAGACTGGATAGAGAGCTTCTGTGAACAGAAATTTTCAAGCTCTCCCCAGATCCTCAATTAGACTTAAGTCTGGACTTTGACTGGGCCATTCTTACACATGAATATGCTTTGATCTACTCTACTCTGCCACTCACTTATAGCTCAAGCTGTGTACTTAAGGTTGATGGTTCCTTTGAAGGTGAACCTCAGCACCACTCTCAAGTCTTTTGCAGCCTCTAACAGTATTTTTTAAATTTTGTTGGGATGGGGGGATCTGTAAAATGTTTAAATCTTCAAGGGGGGGGTGCAACAGTGTTTGAGAACTGCTGCCACAGATCATGATCAGCCTCCCTGTCCCTGTTAGAGAAAAGCATTCCCGCAGCATAATGCTGCTGCCACCATGTGTCTCTAAGGAAACTGTGTTCAGGGTGGTTTTGGTTTTCCTCCACACATAGCATTTTGCATGTTAGCGATAGATTTCAGTTTTGGTCTCAACTGACCAGATTACCTTCTGCCACATGTTTGCTGAGTCTCCTACGTGGCAGGAGATAAAATTTAAATCCTATGGCTTCCTTCTTGGTGCTCTTTCATAAAGAGCAGATTGTCAGAGTGTGCAACTAAGGTGTTTTTTGCTCTCCCACCTGAGCTGTGGATCAAGGCAGCTCCTCCAGAGTTACCATGGGCCTGTTCTTCCCGGACCTGTTAGTTTAGTCAAACATACATTTATTGGAAGGTTTGCAGATGTTTTGGGCATGTGAATACTTTTGCAAGGCCCTGTAATTGCTGCTTGACTTAGTGGACGGCAAATCTATCTGCAGTAGTTCTTTGTTTGCTCAGGAGAACTTACTGGATGTAAGGACATAAAAGAGCAGTACTGGCAGGGTGTTAAGAACTTAGATGCCGGGAAGCAGCACTAAGGTGATGCTAGGCTAGAAAGAAGCCATAAAGGCCTGTTAGGGTACATTAGGTGGAGGAGAGGGTCATAAGGGTTCATGAATGTTTCAACAGGACATGGGCATTTGTTTTCTTGCACTGCTGTCAAAAAGCCATCATGTCTCAGTGTTGAGGGTGGAGCGAACCACTGCGGTTGAATTGCAGAGACACACTCATGAGCAAGCAAAGTGCACATACAGCACCTCACATCATCACAAGTACTCTTTACTGTGGCCGAGCACTCAGTGCCCACGTCTTCCTTCAGTTTTTGTCTCCATAACTCTTTATGGACGTTCTGTTCGTCACCAAGCAGCAAGTACTTAAACATTTATTCTGTCTCGAGGTATGGCTGCAGAAACATCTGCACACTGAGGTCCTTCGATCCCACAGACTTTTAGGGGCTGCAGAGGGTCATGGTCAATGGTCATTTAACAACAGAGGTGAAGTTGGGATGGCAACACTGACTTCATAATCATTTTTTAAAGAAATAAGGTAATAAACCATGACTGAAGATGTCAAAATGAGTCAACGTTTTATCTTCAAATTTCCACATTTCTTTCTGGAGCCTACTTTTTGACCTCCACTACTGTTTAAATAGGCTGTAGTATATGATAGTATCATCAAAAGGTTGTCTGGTGTGCACACAGATTTCCACCTCTCTGCTCAGAGTGGCTGAAAGAAATCAATGCACAAAGATACCAGGATTTTACTGAGTAAGTATAATTTCATTACATATTCATCAGTAGACTGCATGTATACTGAAAAAAATCTGATCATTTCACGTCTTAAAAAGCTCAGATTTTGATGCAATCAGAGATTTGTGGCATATTACAAATTTCTGTTTTGTAAGTTGGATCTATCCAGACCATTTTTGGCCACATTTTTTTTAAAGAAGTGTAACTAACAGCATTGAAAATATTCCATTCTAGCCTTGTGGTAGTAACCGATCACTAATTATTTATTTTAGGACCAGAGGTGACGTCTCACAGTCTTTGGGTGTGGGAGAGCAGTCGCAGAAAAACAAAAAATTACTAAATAAATACAGAGTTGACAGTTTAAGTTCTCTCTGGCATCTCATACTTGTGGCTAGCATAATTAACATGGCTATTAATAACACTAGAGTTGGTCCTTACCTTAACTTAGAGACACCCAAAAGGCTTTCCAATATTTACAAATCCAGGATGTTCCATGAGAGACGGAGATGTTTTGCTATCCTACATAAAGCATTCCTGTTATCTCCTGAAGTCGCTCTGGGTCAGTTTGCCCTGTGCCAATTCAACAAAACACCTGCAAGGCAGGTATGAATTAACTTTTTGTGGCAGATAGTTCTATTGTTGCCTTCTCTGATTTCATTTTTAAATGGCTCGCTCACACCAAGTCTTAGCATGACCTGGTGCACCTATGTATGATGCGTTCACTGATAGGAAAAAGAGTGCAATTCTTCGTTTTCGGTGTATCTGTTTCATCAGCACCTCCTAGGCATTTAGAGGTACCACATACCTTTAACCCGATGTACACATAATATAAATATTTGGGGTTTCATGAGGTTAAAAACTAAACAATGCGGCTCCCACATATGCTTTCAGGAGGGAATCAGTGATGGCGTGTTGAGTGTGGAAAGAGTCCGTACACTCAACAGGAAGAAATGAAAGGAGCAAAGAAGAAGACGAGTGTGGTGATTATTCAATTCCAGAGGAAAGAGCTCTAGTATTTCTTTCCATTCCAGCTGCTTAGTATCTGCAAATAAAGTACATTAAACTTCAGAGAAAACTCCCAATAAATAGTAGAAATCTATTTTCCTCTGAAAGGTAAAGACGGATATTGTAATTTCCAGAGTATTCTCAGTATCCCTCCCTAGATTAGTGAACCGCTCTGAGTGTTCACCCAAATGGACAGCTTATTTAGGATTAACTGGACAAACAGCAAACATCTTTAGAAGCAGGGAGGTCACCTTGTGTGTGCATGGATGTGCATGTGGCAGGACTATAGTGAGTGTCCATATGTTGTAAATCCTTCCCTTAGGAGTAGAAAACGTTTTTTTCATCATGTTACAGCAAGAAAGTGGGCCTTCTTTAGGCTGTTTTACAACCTTACACACTTTACTCAGTCAAATTCCACACTTAGAAAAGTGTAGAATATGTTTTAGTTATTTTCCAGGTCTGGATAACTGCAAAGAGAGAAAAGTGAGTATGGAAACATGTTTGACTTTCTAGACTCTTCCTTAATATTTTATGCAAACTAGAAAACTAGAAAAAATGCCTTTCTACGTTCATTTTTATTGAAACCCCTACAGTTCCTTTATGCTTGATTTATTATATCACTTCCTACATGTTTGTCCAACTTATTTAAGACTGCCCTTTCAAAATTAAAAAAGAGCAATTTAAGACACAGTGGGTGCAGTTGGTAGCATTGTTGTCTTGCAGCAAGAAGATCCTGGGTTCGACTCCCGGCTGGGGGTTTCTCTGCATGGAGTTTGCATGTTCTCACCGTGCATGCGTGGGTTTTCACAGGGTACTCTGGCTTCCTCCCAAAGTTCAGAAACATGACTGTTAGATTAAGTGGTCTCTTTTTTTGTGGATTCAAATGTAAACTGCTGGTGGAAAGCAATTTAATTTAGCAGAACAAAAACTTTAGTCAATCCTCTTCTCTTTATAGGCCTAAATACATATGTTGTAAAGGCCAAATCATTTGCTGAATTTACTCCTTAGAAGCAAAGGATAAAGATACAAGAAGTGGTTCAAAACCGTTTTTCCTAACATAAATAAGTCTTTGGAAGCACTTAAAGATTCAGTTCATGAAGTTGTTTCACTTCCGAAACATCAGAGTCATTCAACTCCACCGTTTTACAGGAGCAAACACATCACAGGAAGGCAGCAAGCAGAACAGTAACAGGAGCTCTTCTCCTCACTACTCTACTGCCAGCTCCATCCCTCACAGGAATAATAGTTAGGTCCATACAAAAGCCTTGCGCATAAAGACACAAACAACACACAGGGAACTATTGAAAGCGCAATGCACGGGGACCAGAAGCCTATAACACTTTCTAACACCTCGAATAACAATGCCAGCTGTCAGCCTACAAGCAGATTTGTTCCTCTAAGCACCGTTGTCTATGGATCGGACTAAAGTAGAAACCCTGCAGTCCATCAAAGTTTGTAACAGACCATAAGATAGATGAAAATATACAGGTACGCTGTAGATTTTATAAAAGGCTGGTTGGGGGGAGGAGCCGGGTGTGTGGCCACGTGTGTATCTGCAAATATGTTGCCCCATGGGGGCACCCAGGAACCTCACACCACCCCCCACTGAGAAGAATAAGGCCATCTGCCCACCTCTCCCATCAATCCCACCTAGAAGAAACACACACTCCAGAGCAATATGGAGAGGCTTTGTAGACAGTGTTTGATCTGCCTTCCATTCTGCTGCTGTGCCTCTCTGCAGGCCTTCTGCTGTACTGTCCTCAACCCCAGCTGAAATCACCTCCGACCAACCTGACGCAAGGAGGCATGCTGATAAACCTTATTTCTTCACTCAAACATGGTGGGGGGGGGGGATTTCAAACGCAAACGACTTAACTCACATGTTTGTTTCTAGGTAGAAGTCACGCAGATGAAGTGGCAGATTTTCAGAACAACACCAGGATTAAAAATGCTGTACTAAATAGAGGTTTATATAAAAACTGACAAAAATAGCTCTTGTCTATATGTCAGAAACATTTGCCACAAAATTCTAAAGTTAACGTGTTAGGGAAGCTGTGGTCCATACTGGGCATTTCTTTAACAACTGTGGAGATAAGGGTGATGTAAAGACCTTGCTTGATGCTGGGGGTCAGCTGGAGGAGCACTTTCACTAACAGTGCAATGTGTGGGAGAAACTAACACTGCATATTCCCTTGAACCAGCCATTCCCATGGTGAAACATGGTGGTGGCAGCATCATGTTGTGGGAATACGTCTCATCAGCAGAGACAGGAGAAGCTGGTCAGAGTTGAAAAAGAAAATCTTTAATGACGCTCACTGCAAAAGGTGAGATTGGGTCAAAGGTTCACCTTCCAGCAGGACAACAATGGCCTGAGCTATAATGGTTTAGATCTAATCATATGTATGTGGCACAGTCAAAGTACATGAACCTAAATCAAACTGAAAATCTGTGTCAAGAATTGAAACTTGCTCTTGCAGTTGCTGGTTGTAATGTGACAAAATGTGAAAAAGTTAAAGGCCTAAATACTTTTGCAAGGCACAGTATAAAGTGGAATAAGAAGAAAATACTAATCACAAGTAGGTGTACAACCTGGAAGTTTTACTTTGTCCATAACATCACAAAGTTTTTGAGTTGTTTTGACTCAAACTGAGGCCCATTTATGGACAGAGAGCTTTCCACTCAGCTGAACGTCTGATCGCTGTCTAAAGAACACACACACACACACACACACACACACACACACACACACACACACACACACACACACACACACACACACACACACACACACACTCTGACAGCTATTAGGCAATCAATAGACGCTAATACATCTGAGCTGTTGACTACTCAGCCCAGACTATGAGCAACATCTAAATGTACAAGGTGACTCCATCTGTAAGAATGTTTCAGCAGCAGCTCTCCCCTCTTTATATCAGTGAACATTATTAATTAATCACAGCGGTGCAATTAGTTGTGACCACATTTGTGTGTCGTGCTTGAGTGGTATAAAGTATCAAAGTGCTACACTTGTTTGGTAAAGAGTTATGCTTGCTCTGGTCTCAGAGGGAATTAACTTCTGCAAACATGTTAACCATTGAGCTCAGCTATTATTAATATTACATTAATACAGAGATGAATCTGATAGATGGCCCCAAAGAGTCCCTGTTGGCTTGCCTGGGAGGTTAAATGTGAAATCAATCCGTATAAACGACCCAGATAAAAATTCTCCCATGCAAGAGTCAGAGGAGGCGCCGTAAAACCACTCTTTTAGCACGGAGTGCTAACAATCTCAGTATTTCAGCCATGGCAGCTCATTCTCTCCTTACTCCTTATGTCTCTCTTTTTGTCTTTTTCATCCTTCTCCTCCACCCCTCTGCTCCTGGGAAACCACAAAGGGGAGGATACCCTATTTTTACACAGTAAAGACCCCATCATGGTGGGGGTTGTAGACCTACTCATGGGAGGGGCAGGTCCAGTGAAGGTTGATCTACACTTGTTCAAGCAGCCATATTTTGGCTATTTGAAGTGAGAAGGCGGCTGTTGAATAATCAGGGAGGTGCTGACCCCTGAACCCTTTTCAGAAGAAACAGAGAAGATGCAGCCAAGCTTTTCTTTGTGATTGCCGTATTGGACAAACAGATATTGATTGAGATCAGAATTGCAATTTGATCTATCTATCTATCTATCTATCTATCTATCTATCTATCTATCTATCTATCTATCTATCTATCTATCTATCTATCTATCTATCTATCTATCTATCTATCTATCTATCTATCTATCTATCTATCTATCTCTCTATCTGATCATGTGATCTCAGGCAAACATGCGTGGGACAGTTGGACACAGTGTGAGGGCAGATGTCAGTCACAGCGAACGTCTTTGTATGAGAGGCAATAGACCACTTTACAGCACCACTCCATTGTCATTCATTTGCTCCAAGCAGGGTTTCTTAATTTTACTGAGAGCATTCAGGCAAGGAGGCAGAGAGATACAAACAAACGTCTGCACAAGCGGCTGGAGCTTCAGTATTATTCAATTTTTTTTAATTCTACTTTTAATTTGAAATCCTCCTTTGTCCTGATGTTGTTTTCCACTGTGGATCTTTTTCGACAAGACATGTATGTTTTTTTGGGGGTTTTTTTCCAGATTGTTCAATTTATAGTGTTTTTTGTTTAATTTTTAGCTGTAATTCAGTTACAAATTTAGACATAAAACTAATACATAATAATTAAAATACTAACATGAGTTTGTCTCTCTAATATTTCTAGGCAATTCAAATCGTTAAAAACAATATATATATATATATATATATATATATATATATATATATATATATATACATTAAATTAACCAAGAGTCATATCTATTTTCCATGCAATCATTTATTTTTGCTAATGAAGAAAAAGCCAAAGCTTGAACGAAGGAAACCAGTGCTGTCGGTTTGCTTTGCAGACTTCTTTTTCATAAAAGAAATGGTGACATACTTAAGACTTATAAATAAAATCGAAAAAAATACACTTTACATTAAATTTATAAGCAACTAAACACAGAAATTACAAAAAAAGCCTTAATAATAAAGTAATAATAATAATACCTGCTTGACTAATGAAGGCTATTTTAGAGAGATAGCTTTAAGCCACATAATAATGTACAACATAAATAGATGCCGAACCATTTAAATAATTGTGTTTGCTTTTAAATAAGGCTGTACAACCGTAATCATTCTGTTTCCCTTTTTCTGTGTGGTCTAGTTCCAGGGCCGATAATCAGAGTTTAAAAGTGTTAACCCGGGATAATTTGAAAATCTTTGCCCTGGGTTCTTCTGTGCTTTTTGGATTTCCTTCACTGGGAGCCCAGAGTTTTCCTGCAGTCCAGTTCCCGAAGAATGTGGAACAGTGAGGGTGTCGATTTGCCTCTCTAAAGGAGAAGAAAGCAATACATTTTATTTACATTATTTACATTTTATTTATTTTAATTTCATTTTGCACTGATTTTTTTATTTATTTTTATTATAGGTAATTAAATTAAAAGAAAGAAAGAAAGAAAGAAAGAAAGAAAGAAAGAAAGAAAGAAAGAAAGAAAGAAAGAAAGAAAGAAAGAAAGAAAGAAAGAAAATTTTATTCCGCTCTTTAAATAAAGTGTATGCTTTTATTGTTTATTTCTATTATCTTGATTTAGCCATATTTATTTATAAAAATGGACGAAATAAAACAGTGAAAGCAAACCACTTTGCAATAACTGTAAATAAGTTTTTGCTCTTACTGTTGTGGATTTTCTCGTGGTATTTCAGCTCCTGCTCCTCCTGAAAAGTGGCCCCGCACAGCTCGCACAGGAACGGCTTGTCTCTGGCGTGGGTCCGGCGGACGTGGCTGTCGTGGGCGGCGTGGGAGGCGAAGGCCTTTCCGCAGTGCTTGCACTTGAAGGGCCTCTCTCCGGAGTGCTGGCGGATGTGCGTCCGCAGGATGCTGGAAGCAGTGAATGCCTAAAAGAGACACGTTTAATTTAAAATAATGTGGTTTTTTTTTAAATAAATATATATATATATATATATATATATATATATATTTAGCTTGAATTTAATAGAAAAAATGTTGTTTTTATGCCCCGCATTCACGTTAAGCGGTTCAAAAGTAGGTTATTTTATGCTGTGATTTTGTAAATAGTCCAAAAAAAAAAAAAAAAGAGAAGAGTAAGTGGACGCATTTAAAACAAAGTACGAAATAACTTCGCTCATCCCTGCGCCATAAATAAAAGCGT